TAGTTATGTTTAAACATTATATTACATTGTTATATCGAATATTGGGGTTCCCTGACAAATGAATCTCACATATCGAGGGAAACACCATAACTGAGGTTGAATATGGCACACCCATACCTATTATTTGAGATTTTTTGCGCTAAAATATTAATTCCGAAATATTTGTTATGGTATATTAATGTCAATTATCGGTTATTACCAATTTAAGATCGTGGTAATATGTTATTTATACTTTTTGTTACGAAAAATTGTTTAGCTTAATTGGCCTTTCTCTTCGAGTTTTGAAATTCAAACATTTCAGAAGCAGCGTGGCCGAGCGGGTTAACGCGTGTACAAAACACGTGTTGCTTGGCAACCAGTTAAACCTAAGTATATGTGATATATGTGTAATAAGTATATGTGAAAATAATTCGCGTTTCGGCGTCGGAAAGGACTTTTAAACCTGCATTAATCTCTCGCTCTCTCCTCTGTTCCAGGAAAACCTCGTATTGCCCAAAGTGTGAGGAATGGATGAAGAAAAAAAAATCCCCACTCATTTGTTCAGGGGTCCCCAACCTTTTTTTCACCACATTATGTTACAGGTTATGTATCAGATTGTCATTGTTTATACTACTTAAAATAAAATGATAAAGGTATCAATAAAAAGAGATATTTACCTTAAGTAACAGACACCGTTATTATTTCTAAAATTAATAACATATTTCTAAAGAATAGGCGAAAACGTCCAGTTTAATAAATGTTATTACTTTTATATAGTTTTCTTATGTTAGATTCATTCATTTTAAAATTTTAATTAAAAATTAGAATCAATATTTCGAAACGAACAAATATAATATTGGATATTTAAAAATAAATTTATATATACGGTTAGACAGTTTTAGGATATTCAAGTGCTTTTGGATACACTTGAATATATCTGAACAAAACAATTGGTTATATTACGATTTGTATCCATTAAACATGGAAGGAAGAGGGGCAGCCTCTATAACATAGGTATTTTTCTCGAGCTTTTCCAGCTAAAAATGAGTTGTGTTAAAAGCTGAAAATAATTTTTACTTCTTAGTTTGTACAACCTCCAAATAAAAATGAAACGTTTTCACAATCTGGCTATGTAAAAATGCCTATAAAAACATTCTCTATAAAATGTTTATATTTGTACTCATTAAATATATATTTTCCAACTTTATAGCAGAAAATTTATAAGAAATACACGTAAAAAGGTGTTCATATGAAAGGTGAATGATTCATAAAATTCAAGGATGTGTTTCTATATTATTATTCCTGATTATGAATGAAAATTTAAATAATAGAAATATTTAGGTCGTGATAATATAGTTAAGTACCTACTTATAGACCTTAGCTTAGCCTAGTTGATTTGTTATAAATTTTAATTTTTTTTTACTTCATATTATTGGAGAGGACGGAACGATATACTCACCCACTCACCATTTTTATTGGTTACAATCATTATTATTTCTAAAATTAATAAAATATATTTCTGTAGAAAAGGAAAAAAAATGTCTAGTGTAATCATTATTACTAATTTTATATAGTTTTCTTGTGTTAGATTCATTAATTTAAAATTAGAATTAAAAAATAGAAGCGATATGGGTTATAAGTTGGTATGGAATAAGTAGAATCTATTGTTACCAACATGTCATTATTTTTTTTTCTTTATTCCAAAGAAACAGATAAAACAATAACAATTGCATTTTATTCAACTATAAACTATAAATATATTATAAATAAAAAAAATAGAACAAAAATAACACGCAACACTGTAGTATAAAGACTGATATATTCTTCTCCTATCATATCAATATATTTACATTTAACAGCTGATATTAAACCAAACAGCTGTTACACCGGTCCTTAACTTATATGTATATAAAAGCTATAGTCCAAAAAGACAATCATTTCTTAAATTCTATTAAATTAAATTAAGGATAATTTTTATTAAAAACGAGTTCATAATGTTAATAATTTAAATAAAGCTGGGCATTAGATAAAATAAGGCTTTAAATTATTGTGGAAATGATTCTATAAGTGAAGACAGATGTAATAATGTTTTCAATACCAATATCCTCTCTTCCGCTACAACCCTAATTAAATTATGGACTGTTTCCCTTCTGTATCGTACACTCAATTCTTTCTGTTTTGATATCATTTAGTTGGCTACTGGTCTTTGTGCGGTTCACTTCACTCTCAGTCCGTTATTATTTAAATCTATATCAAAAGTGTTAGTTTTAGTTTAAAATTATAATATGTGTTCTACCGTGTTTATCCAAGTTTATATGCTAAATTAAAATATATATATAAATAATTCAAATTTAAATTTAATGGATAAAAAAAGTTAAGTATTTAGCAAACAGTAAATATTTTTTTAATACATATTTTAGGTGTCTTATGTATATTCAAAATGCAGTATAAATTCATTTATCAAAATATCTCTTAATTAACTACTATATTTTTATAATGAATTTTATTTAACTTTAATCACTTTTCTTCATTTCTATATTTAATATTCATATATTAATGTTAAAAGATCAACATTATTTTTTTTTTAAATGTTCATAAATAAAAAAAACTAAGCTATATGCTTTAAACCACGCGATATAAGTGAAAAATCAACAATAATATGAAATATAAATTATAAATAATAGTTATATTATTACATAGAAGATGAAATGCTGAACATTTCTCTCGCTTACAGTGTATAGATCCGATTTTTAGTATCTGAAATATTTTAATTCATATGTTCAACTAACCTTATCATATGGTTTTCATCACTATTTTTTCCTTTTCGCTTCTATAAAACGGCGTCGCGTTAAGATACAATTTTGAATTATAGCATATTACAGAGAAGATGAAATGCTAAACAATTTCCTCGTTTACACTATGCAGATTAATAGTTTCTGTGATAAACAAGTTTCTGGCTCTCTCCACAAAAAAGTGCAAAACGCGCCAAAAGAGTTTTTCACTTAAAAACATATTTAATCATGGTACTAGGCATTTCATCTATTCCTAAAGAGATAATTTTATTATAAAAATAAATTAAAAAAAAACATAAATGTTAACATATTATAAATAACATGATTAAATCATATTTATTTAGAGGTATATAAAACAATGATTATTATATCTAGCTTAAATATTGAAATCTATTTTGATATCTTATTTTAATTCGAATGTATTAATTTAAAAAAAATTTAATGTGAGCAGTAATTAGTGTTACACGGTAGTATTCATTGATAGCCAAAATAAATAAAATAATTGTTAATATTATAAATCTGGGACAGAGAGAGATGGCTGTTGCATTTGTCTTGGCGGTAACAGCATTGCTCGCAGCCAATCAGATGCCAGTATTCTCAGTAGTTACATTAGCTCCCCTAACACGACTGTTTATCTCTTTCGAATTAGATTCATTTTGGTATAGTAGGGGTGTTATCGAGTTGTAAACCTCATTTCAAATGTGTAAAAAGTGTTATAAATGTAAAAATAGTGATTTATTTATGTTTATTCAGTGATTTTTTTATTGTAACATCAAGAAAAAAAAGGCCATATTGAAGCTTCAAACTGTGAGTAATGAATTTCACATAATACGTTATAATTATTCTGTTCTTTTAATTTATTCTTATAAATGTGTATTTTCTAGGATTAATTAAATTTATTGAACCATTCCCTTAAATACAATATGTGCTAAAAATTACTCTCACTTACCTACTTTTTAATTTATTGCTAATTTAATAATATAGGTGGTTTGTGTGCCCATGGTATTATGTTTAATATCATTCAGAGCCTTAATGTTGTTTTAATTTTTCACAAAGAAATATGGGAAACTAATGATTTTCTATAAATAAATCTGTTAATGATTTTTTTTTTAATGAAACCTCTTTTCGAATATAATATTTTATATATGTATATATTTTTTTTCCAAATATTTCAATTTTAGCAATTTAACCCCTTGATTATCAATGAGTTTAAAATATTGCAATTAAAACTGATATAAGTTTGACTCTTTCTTATGATATTAGTAGCAGTGATTAATGCGAAATTAAGAGACCGCCATTTGGACTTCTGAAAGCCTACTGTATATTTATTTTAAAATCGATCTTGGAAATTGTTGCTATATGGCTTTCATTTTTATTAAAAAAAGTATTTCAATGCAAATATATTATAGACTACTTGATCTAAAGTTATATAATAAAAAAGGGTAAGAAAAATCATGTAAAATTTAGTATCATTTGTTAATATTTAAAAATTATGCATTGAAAAGCATACATAGATATGTCTAATACATAACTCGTCTATCTACAGCACGCAACGTAAAATAATTATGATGATTTAAAAAAAATACGAAAATAAATTAATACTTTTAAAGTGATCATTCATTCTTGCATTTAATTATTATATAGTTATTAAAATAAATATTCATCATTAAATAGAAAACTTTTCGATCCGCAGCAAGCATTATTAAAACTGTAGCCAAAGCGATGCTCGATAAAGGTTATAGGGGGAAGGTGGAGAAGTGTTGATTTTATTTTGATAAAATTGTTTTCATTTATTTTATTTTATATTTGTTTTCTATTCTATTGTAATCACACATCAAATATACAATGATCATTCATACATTTAATTATTATATAGTTATTATAATAAATATTCATCATTAAATAGAAAACTTTCCAATCCGCAGCAGGCAATAGTAAAACTGTAGCCAAAGCGATGATCGATAAAGATTATGTTAGAGATGGCGGAGGGAGGGAGAAGGGTTGAATTTATTTTGATAAAATTGTTTTCATTTATTTTATTTTATTTTTGTTTTCTATTCTATTGTAATCACACATCAAATATATTAATTTTAATGATTATTTCCAAATTTTAGTTTTTAATTCAATAGAAAACAAACTTTCTCAATTTAAGTTTTCTAACCATTCAAGCTCATCCAATTTTAATTAGCATTCATAAATTGGAACGAGGGTTTTTCGAATTTAAATACCAAACAACACTGTATTCTTCTTTAAATAAAAATACATTTTATTATACAATAAATACAATTAATAAATATAATTACAAAAAATACATTATATATGGTAAAGTTGGTCGGTTAGTAATATCCACCATATCCACCATGATGTCCATGGCCGTTGTAGTAAGAGCTTCCGTAAGGGTAGCTGTAATAGCTGGAGCCCCAGGGGGAGTAGCCGCCGAGGGAGACGCTGCTGTAGCCGTAAGGGTATCCGCCATAGCCTCCTAGATAGCCAGCAATATAAATATATGATATTATATAATATAAAAGTAATATCCATTAATTAATGAAAATAATATATATAGCCTGGGTGTGCCTCAGGAGGGCCTGGAACCTCAGGGTCGATTCACAGCAGATGAAAAATTTCATCAGCCGAATTCAAACCCTGGACCTTGAGGTTAGGAAGCCAGTGCTTACCCAATGAACTTCCCCGTTCCATATTAATAAATGAAAGGAACTACTAAACATATAAAACAGAGATAACACATTATTGATAACATAAATCTTTAGACTTGTATTTACTTGATAAATTAGTATGAAGTGAATAGATTTCCATGGAAACCAGTGCCAACATTACAAGGTCTATAATCTGAGTGTATCGATTCTTTTTCGAATCTCAGTACGATGGATTATGATGAATGAGGTTTCAATCGAATGGAAATTTCATGGAGAAGTGACGCATCCCAATTTCGATCCTTGAATTGCTACAACTTTATAATTAAAGTCATTGAAGAAATTGGAAGGTTTCAATAATCGATAGATCGAGACGGAACAAGTGTTATTTTTAAATTTTTTTACAAGGACAGCGTGCTAAGATCTGAAATGTACTGTTTTAGAGATAAGCCGTAATTTTTGCCGAAAGCCTATTAGGTGGTAATACTTATCACATGATTAAGTTTTGCAAATTAGAATATTGCTATTTATTTATTCTGATAAGGTTGAAAGAATTAACAATTGCTCTATGAACTATTGGACCCTACGAATTATATAGAAAGAATATTTTTAATAAATTAGAAGGGCACCCATGTCCTAATGGCGGACCAACCCCCATTTTTCAAATTATACAACTGTTCATTTAATTGTATTACTTTCATTCATTTGATTGTATTATTTTTAACATAAAATATACTGAACCAACCATAGATCGGACAAATTTTTATTTTCCTTGAAAACCTATTTTATTCAACGCGCCTTATTTCCAATATATATTATTATATAATTATAATGATTCTTATAGACAATTTGTAATTAAAATACATATCCAACTTCTCCAGCTTCATGTAAGGCCAACATTAATTTGAGCATTTTATTTCTAATATGTTCATTGTACGTTATATTGTGCTTTCTTTTCTATTTCATCATAATTATAGTTATATCACTATATATTGTAAATAATATTATATATGATATAATATTATTTATATTAATACATTGTATTCAAGGAGAAAATGTCTATACCGAAAAATAACTGCTGTCACCAAAGTAAAATCAAACTACCAGATCCAGATGAGTACCATTTTCCGTTCAAATGTTTGTGGTCACTCGGAATCCTCATACAAGACTGAAACGAAAAGAAACTGTTCGACGTTTTCGACTATTCCAGACAAAATACTCATATACACGACTATAATAAGGCCAATCTGCACTTACAGAATTGAGCTTTGGTACTCCACTAACCATCGAATTCCTCTCGCATCCAATCCTTACAATCCAAAAGCCTTCTTAAAATCCTAAATGCTCCCTACTTTGTCACAAATAAAATCATTCATGCGACCTTAACGTACCATATGTTTCCGATTTAGTCCAATTCAGATACCTATCTTTCCATAACAAACTTCAAAACTATCTAAATCATTTCGTTTCAAACCTTGCTTCCCATTCGATACCTGATAATCCTCCGAGGCGTCTGAAAAGATGATGGCCTCGTGATCTACTTATGTAAATATATTATTAGAGTGCTACCAATGGGCAGTTTCTCAACAAGCGTTTTCATATGATTGTATTATTATTCTGGGCACATTTACTGGATGTGTTTTTAAATTTATACAGTTGTAAATCTCATGAAAAAAAAAAAATGTTTGGTTTAAAATCTCTACTTGCATTAGGAGAGTAGGTGGTTACAGAAGTTCGATGTAATTAAATGAACAGCTGTATAATTAGTGCTAATTACATAGCTAATAAGAGAATTATTGTAATCGCCTGCTCTCTTAATACTAAAATAAAATATGAAACTCACTAAAAACTTTTTTTTATATAATAGAGAGGTAAAAAATATCCAGTATGGCTTCTGTAGTATATTTTAAGTCATTAGGATATAGAAAGACTTAGGATATATTACAGCTTCTACACTCTCAGTAATCTTTGTGAGTGAGAAACAAACAAATCCATGCTTTTCTGCACCGAAAATCTAGGTCTTGAAATCACTATAATGGATTATTATAGGTTTGAGGAATAACTTTGTAATATAACCTAACTATATTACTGGAGGTATATGTTCCAATGGGACAAGCCAATTATTAAGTGAATTGTTACTGTAACTTAAGAAGCTTCACAAATTATTTGTGTCGAATATAATTAATATCTTGATAGGGTAAACTTGTGGGGGGCGGGGTGGCCGAATAGGCTAAAGCGTGTGTAACAGCACCGCTAGTTGCCTGGCAACCGGATAACAGAGATTTGAGATGATATAAAAAGTACGAGTTCGCGTCCCCGTGCCGGAGGGGATTTTAAATTTCCCCGCCCTCACCCCCCCGGCCCGGGAAAATCCCGTATAGCCTAAAAGGCGAGGTAGGGAACAACAAAAAAAAAAAAAAAAAAAAGGGTAAACTTGTGGTGGTATAATAATGCCGTACCTTTGCCATAACCGCCATAGCTCCCATATCCACCTCCGTATCCTCCATATCCGAGACCGCCATATCCGTAGTTGTAGACCGGGAGGACGAAGGCCTTACCATATCCTCCGTGGCCACCGTATCCACCGCTACCAAGTCCATAAGAGTGTCCTCCATGACCTCCGTATCCACCGCTTCCAAGTCCATGAGAGAGTCCTCCAAGACCTCCGTAGCCGTAGTAAGGATAAGACAGGCCGTAGCCCAAGCCGTAGGAGGGAGCAGTGCTGAGGTCGTTAGTCACGTCTTTCTTGAACAATTTCTTCTCTGTAGTCGGTGCTTCCTCTTCAACAGACTTCTGGGTATCCTCTTCGGCGTAGGCGATCGCAGCCACCAGGCAGGCGAGTACCTGCAAGTGTCCAATAAATTTGTGTAGTATATCCACTAATAAAATAATAAACCAAAAATATTTTAAAATCGCCATATCTCTACTAATAGTGCTTTGATTTCGATGAAACTTCTTTTATTTTTTAGGAAATTAAATACCTTTGAATCATTTTATCACAATATCTACAAAAAAGTGTATACTTTTTGAGTTATTCGGAATTTAATTTTACAATCCCTCGTAACTTTTTTTCCCAGCTCCTTTTCGTTGAATTATGTTATATAGATAAATTTAGAGGGTCTCGAGTAAATGACTTTAGCAAAGTTCCATTGAAATTGGTACGCAGGTTTTTCTGCATTTTTTTTTTCTCCTTTATTAACTTATCAAATTCTTTCAAAAGCTATATGTAGCATTTTTTCGTAACTCTGAATAATGCGAAATGGTCAACTGTTTAATATAAACCATAATAAAGGTACTTCAGAGGAAGACATATATGAACATTGGGCATTTAAGACCTGTAGAGTGACATCAACGGGGATAAGACCTAAATGATATTAAAGACCGCTTAATTATACAACGATACACCGAGTTTGATCAAAATCGTTAGAGCCGTTTTTGAGAAAATTGTAAAAATGTGTTTCAGCGTTTATATAAAGTGGCACTTCCGATTAGCCGATTTAAACGAAAAATTTGCTGTCACATCCGGCCCATATACAAACCTAAAATACTTAATATCAGTTTCTTACTACTTTTCGTTTATGAGATAGACTGTTAAGACACACACACACACATAGAGACCATTTTGCGACACTTGGTTATTTGGACTCAGGGGATCTCAAAACATGTATTTCCGTTGAAAACTGAGATTCGAAAATTTTCACGATCGCAATACTTACCCTTACTATATATTACATATATACGTAAGTGAAAGTAAAAATATATATAAAGCATATATTAAACTTGATTTTTGTAAAAACAATTTTTAATAGCTTTATAACTGCTTTTATCGTTTTAAACCCGTTCTTCAATAATGTCTTTAAAAAAAATTGACTAAGCCACATTTTAAAAGTGTAATAAATATTATGTTTTCTATTTTCACAATGATAAAAATCGTCGGAAGAGGCCTTCCTCCTATCATTTAGGTTTTTAATACTGAATTTTAATTAAATTATATAAAATATGAACGAATGTATCAAGATGGAGGTGAGCCCCGCCAGCCCTAATTAAAAGCCAAGAAATAAAGATTAACAGAACTAAGGAAGACTAAGCAAGACCTTAAAATGTATCTAAGATGTATCTTGTATATTGTATGTGCTGTACTACAAGGAGCAACTTACAACATATATATAAGATACAAAACCATATATAAAACTGGGGTTATGGAAAAAAAAATAAATGAATGATATCGAATATAAATTTGTTAGGGAATTTAACTGAAAATTTGGATAATTTTTATCCCAAATTTTGATTTTTGAATTTGCTACATTAATATTTGAATTACTTCTAATATATCTGATAAAGTATTATATGATAGACCCCGCTTCAAATCAAATACACCGAATAAACTACATAAGAATCAATTATTTATTAAAATATCATGGATGATAATCATAAAAAAAATAGATTTTAGATTAATATTGTTATTCTTAAAATATTGTATCATATATTGTCTTACTTATAATTTCATTCCATTACAATTGTCTCTATTATAAACATTGTTTTACTATTGTATTATTATATATATTTTTCATATTGATTCGCACCTCTTGTTCTTACTAGTCAATAGTCACAATTTTGTAAGTATAAGAATCATCGAAAATCTTTTATACTTTTTAAATAATTTAGGCAGCAAATTATTTGCATTCTACTAAGATAAATTGTATCCACAGCTCCTCTTTGACTATGTTTTCCTATCTATAAAATCCTCTCCCGGCCTTTTTACTTACCTACCAAAGTCAGCTCTTAAATACCTTCAGTGCTCGAAACACGGTTAGTAAGAGAAAAAAAATATTACATGTTTTGTATACATTATTTTTAGTTTGTATAACTTTTTGCAAATTTCATTTATCTATTTCATAAATCATCAATCACTATATTTTTATTATTAACCATTATCTGTCGTATAATACTATATCTCTGATTGTATTAAAACTTTTCAGCCCTGATGATTACCCACACGTTTGGGTTGAAACGTCGGCACTAATAAAAACTTTATAATGTGTGCGTCCTGTATAATTATCACCCACGGCATGTAGAACAGTTGACTAACTTCCTCCAATAATTTATTAATATAATTTTTCAGCTTTTAATTATGTAAATGATATTGAAAAAAAATTCGGAAATTTTATAATCTCTGTCTACATTTTAATTAATTTATTATATTTTTTCAAGTTATAGTTAATACCTTTAATATATGAATATTATAAATATGTTTTTATCCTGGATATAACGTCCTAACGCTTCCCAACTTCTACTTACAAAAAAGACGAAACTCCTCATGATTCACGAGATGAGAGCAGCGGAAGACTGATGCCGCGGACAGACAGCGGCGATGTTATATACCTGGTCCAGCAAGGCCGGGAAGGGGTGGACCTCGAAGGACCTCAAGAACATCGCGGCATTGACTCTTGAAAAGGTGGCCTGCAAAAATATTGGGCCGTTAGTCCTAATATAACCTTGTTATTTTAACATTCTGGAAGTAAATTTGAAAAAAAAAAAAGCCTTACCCCAAAATGTTTTTTAAAAAAAATTTATTTATTGAAAAATATTACAATCTGTCTCAAGGACATTTATAATATTGTTCTGAGATCACATTCACACTCTACGTACAATAAATAAAATAAATTATACAGAAAAATAATATGTATACAATAAATAAGAATAAAATAACCTAAAAATAAATAAATAAAAAGAACACATACATACCTATATACAATACCTACAATCCGTCGAGAGAACTCCAAACAAGACTTGTCCCTCCAACTGTGGAGAGAAAACCATGACTCCAGGAGATCCCTGCACTTCTCTCTCAACCGCGTCTCTGCGGCTAAACCCAGTGGTGATTGAGCAAGAGTGTATTACCCCATCATTAAAAAAATGATGCAACTTGTCAAAAATTGTTTATTATCCTCTCCATAATATTTGATAAAAAGTCACAATCAATCTCGCGTCAGGTTTTGATGGGTGGGGAGGACAGAAAGCTGATATTTTTATAGTTATAGAGAATATCTCAAAAACTATGATTTTCGCTAAGATTATTCAGTACAACATAAAAATATTTTAAAACATCTATAAAAACGACTTATACATTATTTTTTTTTATATTGATTCCATTCATAGTTTTGCCATCCTAATAATATTTTTACTCAATTAGAGATGAATTTCAACTTGCTCTGTAACAAACCTCAACCTAATGAACGTAGACTTAAAGCTCACTAAACAAGAAAGTTTTCTGAAAGTGTGGTATCTTCAGCCCACTTGGTGGATTATAAAAAAAAATATCACGAAGAATTCTTGATTTTATGTAAACCGAAATATCCGTAGTTGCCTTAAAAATTACAAACTTTAGGTTTCCTGGTTCTCTGTGCTTTACAGTAACTTTTTATAGGTTTTAAGGTCTACTATTACATATTATCTATTATATTAAATTAATGTGAATCTTACCGTTATGCAGAGAGAAATACTTTATTGAAAGTAATGCCTCCCCTACTTCATAGGGCTGCTCTATACACAGCATACTAATCAACCAATAAAGACATAAATCTTATATTCCACTATTCCATCGTTATATTACTTATATCATGAAATTCCCCCTTGATGGATCGAATAATGATCGTTATTAATGATATTTTAGAACCATCAAAACAAAGAATCTTTTAATAATAATTTGAACGATCGAAAATGTTAAAAATTAAAAAAAAAAACTTCGAAACGTTATCATCTACAATCAACCACGCCAATTTCATAGTTTGGAGCAATTTTTCTCAGATTTTATAAAAAAAAATGTATAGAACTTTTTTTTTTAGAGATTTTCAAGTAATTTAATATTGTACTGAATATTCATTGCAAAAAACCTCTTAGTTTTTTTTTATATATTATCAAAAACCAACAAAAAAATATATAAACGAAGTTTATTATTTCGAATAAAATATATTTAACCCTTATTTACTTCATTTTATTGGTATATTTTTACGAGGGTTCGAGCAATTTTCCCCATTTATGGTAGTAAAAAATTATATCCAAGTAAAAAATTATATCTATAATATAAATAACATTATTATTAACAAACATATAAAATTGCATATCAGCACATAAAACAATAAAACAGAAATTTATAAACATCACCATTAATCAATTAAACCTATATTTCCAAAAATATTATTAATCCACTAAAATTTTATTTTTCTCATTATTACAAAATTATTTCTTTAAAATTTAAATTTCATACTCTAAAATTCCATTTTTTTTTTCAAAATTCGAAATCTAAAAGACTATAATTAAAAAACAAATATAAGAAACAAAAAAAAATTCAGTTTTTGGGACTTTTTATTAGTTATTATGGGAAGGGTAATAAACAATTTCTGACAAGTTTCATCTTTATTTTTGGGGCCAATCCCTAGTTTCACTGTACTAGTTGGGTTCATAAAAATAGTCCCTCATTTTCATAGGCTATTTTTTCTTGAATTTGTGGTGGATTTTTCTTGGACATTTTTTCTTGAATATTACTATTCAAGTGAAACGATTGTATATGAGTAAAAACAAAGCCAATTACTGACAATTTGCCATTTATCGCCCTTTTGTAAGATCACGCCAGGAAGTGGAAAGCAAATGGGTATTCATGAGTTTTTAGAACATTATTAAATAGCCAAAATCTCCAGATTGATAACGATCCAATTTCGAGAATTTTCGTAAACAAAATATTTCTAGGTTACGATAAGATGAAGATATTAACGAAGTTTTAGGCAGATCTTAATAATTTGATAAAAAGGTGTGTACCACTGCCTATCGTCTATTTAATTTAAGAT